TTTCACCATGTTGGCCAGGATGGTCTCGATCTCCGGACCTCGTGATCTGCCTGCCGCAACCTCCCAAAGTGCTGGAATTACAGGCATGAGCCACTGCACCCAGCCTTCTGTCTGAAATTTTTATGTTGCCTTTATCAAACATAAACTCGAATGGTTTGGTATACGATTCTAGGTTGCCAACCCCTTACCCACTTACCCCTTGGAAGATATTTCACTGTCTCCAGGCTCCCAGTGTTCCTCTTGAAAAGTTAGCTGCCAATATAATTTTTTTCCCTTGTTTATAATTTGTCATTTCTTTTTATTTTAAATGTTCTTCAGTCTTACTACATTGTCTCTAGGTGTGAACTTTGATTTGTTTTAAAACTGAAAATTACTGTCTTTTGCCAATTTTGGAAAATGCTTGACAATTATATTTTTGAATTTTGCCTTTCTTTTTTCTCCTTCTGGAATTCATAATAGACACATATGATTGATTTTCTGTTTTGCATTTCTTAATCTTATTTACTTATTCTGTCTGCATATGCTGCATTCTGGTCAGCTTCTACAGCTCTGTCTTCTGGTTTATTGATTCTCCTTTCAACTGTGTCTAATCTTTTGCTTCCTCAGTCCACAGAGTGTTTTTCTGTTTCAGTGACTGTATATTTTAATGCCAGAAGTTCTTTTTGATTATTTTTCAAATAAGCTTATTTATTTTAAAATTTCTTGCCCTTTTATCTTTAAATGTACTTATTTTACAGAAGCTATCTAATATATTATCAAGTGCTTTAGATAAAGGCCTTAATTTAGCTCTATGTGGTATTAATTCTCCCTCATAGTGAATTGTTTTCTTTGTGTCTTGTAATTTTAGTTGTAAACTCAGTGGAAATAAAGTAAAGCCTGGGTAAATGGCATGTCCTCTATTTTTGTGATTGTTTCTATGAAGTGCCCAATGGAGAACTGAAGAGTAAATAAACAATTTTAGTATGTATAATGGGATACTACTCAGCAATGAAAAGCATTACTGATACATGTAAGGGCATAGCTGACTCTCAAAAGCATTATTCTAGATGAAGGAAATCAGAGTACATACTCTTATGAGTCTATTTATTTTGCATTCTAGAAGTGACAAAACTGCAGGCATACTTCAGAGATCCTGGGGCCTTGTTCCAGACCATTTTGGTAAAGCAAGTATTGCAATAAAGCTAGTCACACAGCCGGGCGCGGTGGCTCAAGCCTGTAATCCCAGCACTTTGGGAGGCCGAGGCGGGTGGATCACAAGGTCAAGAGATCGAGACCATCCTGGTCAACATGGTGAAACCCCGTCTCTACTAAAAAACTACAAAAAATTAGCTGGGCATGGTGGCGCGTGCCTGTAATCCCAGCTACTGAGGAGGCTGAGGCAGGAGAATTGCCTGAACCCGGGAGGCGGAGGTTGCGGTGAGCCGAGATCGCGCCATTGCACTCCAGCCTGGGTAACAAGAGCGAAACTCCGTCCCTTCTAAAAAAAAAAAAAAAAAAAAGAAAAAAAGCTAGTCACACAAACTTTCTGGTTTCCCAGTGCATATAAAAGTTACATTTACACTATATTATAGTCAATTAAATGTACAATGGCATTACATTTAAAAAAATGTACATGCCTCAATTTAAAAAGACCGAAAAAATAATTTTAACTTTTATTTTAGATTAAGGGGGTACATCTGCAGGTTTGTCATATGGGTGTATTGCATGATACTGAGGTTTGGGATATGAATGATCCTATCACACAGAGAGTCAGTATACTAACCACAAGATAGTTTTTCATCCCTTGCGTACCCCCCTCCTGCCTCTGTTAGTTTCCAGTGTCTATTGTTGCCATCTCTATGTCTAGGAGTTCCCAATGTTTAGCTCCCACTTGTATGTAAGAATATGTGGTATTTGCTTTTCTGTTCCTGCATTAATTTACTACGGATAATGGCCCCCAGCTACATCCATGTTGCTGTACAGGACATGATTTTGTTCTTTTTTATGACAATATAGTATTCCATGGTATATATGTATCACATTTTCTTTATCCAATCCACTGTTGATGAGTACCTGGATTGATTCCATGGCTTTGCTCTTGTGAATAGTGCTGCAGTGAACATACGAGTACATGTGTCTTTTTGGTAGAATGTTTGGTTTTCTTTTGGGTACGTAACCAACCAGTAATGGGACTGCTGGGTCAAATGATGGCCCTGTTTTAAGTTCTTCAAGAAATCTCTGCTTTCCATACCAACAGTGTGTAAGTATTCCTTTTTTGCCGCAGCCTTGCCAGCATCTGTTATTAAAAAAGACTTTATTGCTCTGGGAGGCCGAGGCGGGTGGATCACAAGGTCAAGAGATTGAGACCATCCTGGTCAACATGGTGAAACCCTGTCTCTACTAAAAATACAAAAAAAAAAAAAAAATTAACTGGGCTTGGTGGTGCACGCCTGTAGTCCCAGCTACTCGGGAGGCTGAAGCAGGAGAATTGCTTGAACCCAGGAGGCGGAGGTTGCGATGAGCCAAGATCGCGCCATTGCACTCCAGCCTGGGCAACAAGAGCGAAACTCTGCCTCAAAAAAAAAAAAAAAAAAGACTGTATTGCTAAAAAATGCTAACAATTATCTGAGACTCAGACAGTCTTAACCTTTTTACTGGTGGGGGGTCTTAACTTGATGGCAGCTGACAGATCGGGATAGTGGTTGCTGAAGGTTGGGGTGTCTGTGGCAATTTCTTTTTCCTCCTCCTCCTTTCTTCTTCTTCCTCCTCCTCCTTTGTTTGTTCTTTTTCTTCTTCTCCTCCTTCTTCCTTCCTCCTCTTTTCTTTCCCTTTTTTTTTTTTTTTTTTTTTTTTGGAGAGACAGGGTCTTACTCTGTCACCCAGGCTGGAGGGCTGGAGTGTAGCAGTGTGATCATAACTTACCACAGCCTCAAATTCTTGGATTCAAGTGATCTTCCCACCCCAGCTTTTTGAGTGTCTAGGACCACAGGTGCATGTCACCACATGACTAATTAAAAAAAATTTTTTTTGTAGAATTGGCATCTTGTTATGTTGCCCAGGCTGTTCTTGAACTCCTGGCCCCAAGTGATACTCCTGCCTTGGCCTCCCAAAGCGTTGGGATTACAGGTGTGAGCCACTGTGACTGGCCCAGGGCAATTCTTAAAATAAGACAACAATAAAGTTTGGTAGATGTATTGACTCTTCCTTTTGTAAAAAATTACTCCACGGCATGTGATTATACTGTTTAACAGCATTACCCACAGTAGCAGTTCTTTCAAAATTGGAGTCAGTCCTTGCCAAACCCTGCTGCTGCTATATCAACTGAGATTATGTAGTAATCTAAATCCTTTATTGTTACTTCAACAGTGGTCACAAGTATCTTCACCAGGAGTAGATTCCAGCTTAAGAAACCACTTTCTTTGCTCATCCATAAGAAACAACTTCTTATCTATTCAAGTTTTTTTTTTTTTTAATTTTTATTTTTTTGTAGAGATGGGGTCTTGCTGTGTTGCTTGAACTCCTGGCTTAGTGATCCTCCTGCCTTAGCCTCCTGAAGTGTTGAGGTTATAGGCATGAGCCACTCTGCCCTACCCTGTTTATGTTTTATCATGAGACTGCAGCAATTCAGTCACATCTACAAGCTCCACTTCTAATTCTAGTTCTCTTGCTATTTCTACCACATCTGCAGTGACTTCCTCCACTAAAGTCTTGAAACCCTCAAAGTCATTCATGAGGGTTGGAATCAATTTCTGTAACACTCCTGTTAGTGTTAATGTTTTGACATCCTCCCATGAATCACAAATGTTCTTATTGGCATATAGAGTGGTGACTCTGTTTCAGAAAGTGTTCAATTTACTTTACCCAGTTTCATCAAAGGAGTTCACTATCTGTGGCACCTGTAGCTTTACAAAATGTATTTCTTAAATAATAAGATTTGAAAGTTGAAATAACTCATTTATCCATGGGCTGCAGAATGGATAAGCAGGCATGAAAACAGCATTTATTTCCTTGTGCGTCTCCGTCAGAGCTCTTTGGTGACCAGGTGTATTGTCAATGAGTAGCAATATTTTGAAAGAAATCTTTTTTCTGAACCATAGCTCTCAAAGTTGGGCTTAAAATATTCAATAAGCCGTACTGTAAACAGATGTGCTGTCATCTAGACTTTGCCGTTCCATTTATGGAGCACAGACAGAGTAGATTTAGCATAATTCTTAAGGGCCCTAGGACCTTCATTCTAGTAAAGGAGCATTGGCTTCAACTTCAAGCTGTCAGCTAAATCAGCCCCTAAGAAGAGAGCCAGCTGTCCTTTAAGGCTTTGAACCCAGGCCTTCACTCCTCCACTCTAGCTAGGAAAGTCCTAGATGTCATCTTTTTCCAATAGAAGGCTATTTTGTCTACACTGAAAATCTGTTGTTTAGTGTAGCCACCTTCATCAATGATCTTAGCTGATTCTAGAGAACTTGCTGCAGCTTCTGCATTAGGACTCGCTGCTTCACCTTGCCCTTTTGTTTTATGGAAAAGGCTTTTTTCCTTCAACCTTATAAACCAATCTGTGCTTGCTTCATACTTCTGCAGCACCCTCACCTCTCTCACCCTTCATAGAAATGAAGACAATTAGGGTCTTGTTCTGGATTAAGCTTTGGCTTAAGGGAATATGTGGCTGGTTTGATCTTCTGTTCAGACCACTCACACTTTCTCCTTATCAGCAATAAGGCTGTTTTGCTTTCTCAATATTCATATGTTCACTGGAGTAGCACTTTTAATTTCTTTCAAGAACTTTTTCTTTGAATTTACAGATTGGCTCTTTGGCCCGAGAGATCTGCCTTTTGGCCTGTCTTAGCTTTCAACATGCCTTGTTCACTAAGGTTAGCCGTTTCTAGCTTTTGATTTCAAGTGAGAGACATAGAACTATTCCCTTTCACTTGAACACTTGGAGGCTATTGTAGGGTTCTTCATTGGCCTAGTTTCAGTATTGTGTCTCCCGGAACAGGGAGGCCCGAAGAGAAGAGAGATAGGGCAACAACAGCCTACTGGTAGAGCAGTCAGAACACAATATTTATCAATTAAATCACCTTGCTATAGGGCATGGTTTGTGGTGCCCCAGTACAATTACAACGGTAACATCAGTGATCACTGATCACGCCATAAAAATGGAGAAGTTTGGAATAGTGTGAGAATTAACAAAATGTGACACAGAGACACAAAGTGAGCACATGCTGTTAGAAAAATGGTCGCGGCAGACTTGCTCGTGCATGGTTGCCAAAAATCTTCAAATTGTTAAAAAAAAAAAAGTGTTTGCCAAGTGCAGTAAAGTGAGGTGCAGTAAAGGGAGGTGGGCCTGTGTAGTGATAAGGGAACAGGAGAGTGCATGGTGATAGTTGGAGGTCAGATTCAAAGTGGCGAAAAGGAGCGTTCTGGGGTGATAGAAATGTTCTTTACCTCTATTGTGGTGGTAGTGGTGGTTATGCAGTTTATCACGTTTTCAAACCTCATCTACTTGTACACTTAAAATTAGTGAATTTAATTATATGAAAATTAAATCTCAATAAAGCTGATTTTTAAAAAAGCAGGCAAAACTCATCTGTGGTGTCAGAATTGTGATTAAAGTACCGACTGGGAGGGATGAAGGGTCCTTCTGGGGAGTTGGAAGTGTTCTGTATTTTGAAGTGGGGGTTGCCTGGGTGTATACAGGTGTATATGCACAGGGTAAAAGGTCATTGAGTTGCACACTTAAGACTTGTGCACTTTATATAAGTTATATACCTCGATACAAAAGGAAAAGGTTTTAAAGAAGGATTAGAATATAAAGTTGAGAAAATCGCCAAGAGAGTAGAGCAAAAGGACAGAGACATGGAAAATAGGAGAGAAAAACTAAGAAAATCAGAGGACCAGCCTCGGAAGTCCAATTCCTGGATAAAAGGCATTTCAGAACAGAAAAAAAGAAAATAGAAATTTTTAATGAAATAATTCAGAATATTTCCTAAAATTGAAAGACATTAATTTCTACATTGAAAGAACTGCAAATAGACCCATTTCAGAGCACATCATCAAAAATTTTAGAAAACACGTGTCAAAGAGAAGATCCTGCAAGTTTCCAGAAAAGGGGAAAAACAAGTGATATATAACGGATAAGCAATTTAAATGACTTCAATCTTCTTAACCTATTATTGAAACCTAAAAGGCATTTAGGAAATGCCATAAAAATTGTCAGGGAAAATTATTTGCAAACTAAGATTCAGTAGCCAGCCAAACTCTAATGAAGTATGAGGGGTAGAACAGAGATATTTATAGACATGCACAGTTGCAAAAATTTTATCTCCCATTTGTGGAAAATGTGTTCCATAAAGGTAAGGGAGTGAACCAAGAAAGAGAAAGACATGTGATACATAAAAAAAGGACAGCGTAGAAGAGGCAGAAGGGCTCCCCACGATGAAGGGAGGTACAAAGTTGAACAGCCTTGGAGGATAGAAAGGGATAGTGTCTTTCTCTGGAGCAAAGGTCAGGTTTGCTTACAGCGTTGGAACATACAGTATGTCCTTTTGGAACAAGGGGTGGGGAAGCATAAAGCTTAATAGATTCAGGTTCTCTAAGCTTAGGCCTCCTCTCTTGTAATTCAGACTGCTTCATTTGTAGATGTTACATGGCCCTTTTCAAATTGTCCCATGGGAACTGGGGCTTGGGAAACTGATGGGAAAAAAAATACCTTGGGTTAGGTTGTCTTCTGGAAGCATTGTAGTTTTAACTCTTGCATTTAGGTCAATAATCCATTTGAGTTAATTTTTTGTATGTGATGTAAGGGTTGAGATTCAGTTTTTGTTTTGAATATGGATAGCCAGTTTGTTTCAGTACCCTTTTGCTGGAAAAAGTTGTCCTTCCCTCATTGAATTGCTTTGGCACTTTGGTTGAAAATTAGTTGGCTTTGTATGTAGGAATCTATTTCTTGACTCTGATTTCTTTCACTGATCTTTGTGTCTTTCTTTATGTTAATTCCACACTGTCTTGATTACTGTAACTTTATAGTAAATTTAAAATTATGTAGTGTAAGTCCTCCTACTTTACTATTTTTCAAAACTTTTGTCTATTTTATGTTCTTTTATTTGCATGTAAATTTTAGAATCAGCTTGTCAATTTTTCCAAAAAAGGCTGCTAGGATTTTGATTGGGATTGCCTTGATTCTATGGATCACTTTTAAGACAGTTGACGTATTACCCGTATTGAGTATTTTTATTCATAAACACATGCACACATATCTATTAATTTAGGTCATCTTTAATTCTCTTAGTAGGTTTTAATAGTTCTCAGGTTACAGGTCTTGCACATATTTTGTTAAATTTATCCCTGAATATTTAATATTTTTGAATGATTTTACTGTTTTTAGTTTCCAGTTATTTCTTGTATGTGGAAATAAGATTGATTTTTGTATTCTGACTTGTATTCTGCAACCTTATACAACTTTCTTATTAGTTCTAGGGCTATTTGCAGAGTCCCTGGGATTTTCTCTACTGATGATCATGTTTTCTGTAAATAAAAGCAGCACCTTTTATTTTTGTATTGCCTTATTGCACTGATTAGAACCTCAGTTCTGATGTGGAATAGAAGGGTTAAGAGCAAATATTCTTATCTTGTTCTTGATCTTAGAGGGAGAGCACTTAGTCTTTCACAGTACATATGCTTTGCTAAGCATTCGTAACATGAATTATGTTGAATTTTGTCAAATGCATTTTCTGTATTGAGATGATTTATAATGTTTTGTTTTTATTCTCTTAAAATTATATTGATTGATTTTAAAACAAACCATCTTGAATTCTGGGGATAAATCTCACTGGGTCATAATACCGTATCCATTTTACATATTGCTGGATTTGATTAGCTAAAATTTAAAGATTTTTTTATATCTATGTTTGTGAGGGATATTGATAGGTAATTTTCTGATATTTGTCTGGTTTTGGTGTAAGGCTAACGCTGGCTTTAAAACATGAGTTGGATAGCCAAAAGAACTGTGGCAAAAAAGAAAAAAAAGAGTTGGAAATAATTCTACCTCTTCTGTATTCAGTTTCATTAATTGATATAGGACTATTCAGATTAAGTACTCTTATCTCTTCTTGGGCAAGCTTTATATGGGACCATCATAGAATTTGTCCACTTCCGTAAGCCCTCTTTTGTCTTTCAGTAGCTCCAAGGTTTGTAGTGATAGCCCTCCTTTATTTTTATTTTTATTTTGTGTGTGTGTGTGTGTGTGTGTGTGTGTGTGTGTGTGTGTGTGTGTGTTTTGAGGCAGAGTCTTGCTCTGTTGCCCAGGCTAGGGTGCCCTGGTGCGATCTTGGCTCACTGCAACTTCCACTTTCTGGGTTCAAGTGATTCTTCTGCCTCAGCCTCCCAAGTAGGTGGGGGTTACAGGTACTTACCACCATGCCTAACTATTTTTTGTATTTTTAGTAGACACAGGGCTTCACCATCTTGGCCAGGCTAATCTCGAACTCCTGACCTCATGATCAATCTGCCTCAGCCTCCCAAAGTACTGGGATTACAGGCATGAGCCACTGCACCTGGCTTTTTTTCCTCCCTTTCCTGGTCAATCATTCTAGAGGTTTATTCATTTTATTGATCTTTGTGAAGAACCTGCTTTTGGCTACATTGAAATTTTCTGTTGTTTTCTGTTTTCTATTTCATTGATTTCTTACCTTAACTTTCTTACATTGTTCTGCTTCTTTTGGTTTTAATTTGCTTCCCCTGTTAGATTTTTTCGATAGAGGCCGAAAGCAAGAGTCAGAGAACTATAGTCCAGGGGCTAGATCCAGCTTGCCACTTGTTCTTGAATGGGTCATAAATCAGGAATGATTTTTGCATTTTTATAAGGTTGAAGAAAAATCAAAAGAATGCTCTTTTGTGACATGTGGAAATTAAATGAAATTCAGATTTCATTGTCCACAAATAAGGTTTTATTGGAACACAACCACACTTATTGTTTACATATTGTCTCTGGCTACTTTTCTGCTGGATTGGCAAATTTGAGGGGTTGTGACAGAAACCACGCGGCATTCTCATAGCTTTTGCACTGCTGTTTCTGAACTGTAATCACTGTTTTAAGTGCCATTCATATCACTATATTGTGACATTTTACTTTATTATCAATGCATCCACATCATGTCAAAACAAGAAAAGATGAAAAAAATAGACTTGGAATGTTATACTTTTAAAGCACAGTGAACCATGGATTATTGAATTAGATGACAAGGCATTGTATTACACAGTGACACTATAGCTGTGTTAAACACAGTATTCACTGGTATTACCAAACCGTGCATTCATCATAATATTCCCAACTCACAGGAAAGTAATGGTCAGAAAAATGAGAAAACTTAAAAGCTAATATCTTATTCCGGTAGAATTTCTTCACAAAATTTGAAAATAAAATTAAGGCTGCACCCAGAGTAAACTTCCAAGTGGCTCATTTGTTAGCCAAGCAAGGAAGTCATTTACCAATAGTGGATTAACTAAATTGTGTTTGGTTACAGCAGACACACAATTGTGTCTGGAGAAGGTAAACTTAAAACTGTTAGGCTTTTGGCCAAAAGAGTTGCTCAGAGAATTGAGGATATCAATAATCAATTTAAAAACAAGGCAAATGATTTCAAGTGGTTTTCCTTGGCTTTTGATAAGTTGACAGATGTTACCAACACTGCTCAATTGTTTGTTTGGAAAGTTAAGGCTGAGTTTGAAGTTATTAAATAATTAATCTTAATGAATAGTGTGTATAAAATAATTACAGATAAGAATATTTCAAAAAGTTAAGAAAACACTGCGTACAACTTGAATAAGTGTAGTCTGCTAAGATGTCTTATAACTGATGGCGGTAAAGATTTCTGTAGAATAGAAAAAAACTCAGGTGTACAAATTCATAAAGCTGTGAAAGTATAAGATGTTTAAAGTCTATTGTTACTTACTTTATTTCTTAGCAGTTATTTTGCAGAGAATATCTGAATCTGTCATGTAATATTGAACCAGTAGTGTCAACATTTGCTCTTGTGGACTTAGCTGTTGTCAGTTCCAGGAATTTTTGTTAGAAATAGAGCCTGAATATTCTCACTTGCCCTGCTGTACAGCAGTTTGATGACTTAATAGTTGTAAGGTTTTATTGCAAACTTTTGAATTTAGAAGTGAGATTTGAATTTTTCTGAATGTGAGAAACTGCTGTCAATCACTTATTATTGAACGCTGAATGACTTTAGAAATCAATTTGTGTTGCAGACTCAATAGTATTTCTTAATGAATGCAACCTGAAATTACAAGGTAAAACAGTTGTTGTATCAAAATTAATACTGCAGTAAAGTTGTTTCAATGACAACTACTGTTCTTTGAATCACAAGGAATACCAAGTCATTTTATATAGCTTTCCATGCTGTCATAATAAAACAAAGAAGTAAGGTCTGTATTCCTACCCAGTATTGCAATAGGTATGTTTTCTGAGTTCAAACTACAGTTTCAGCAACATTTCTTAGAACTTGATGCAAGTGCAAAGGAAATTTCCATTTAACTGTACTGTTGAGGCACTTTTTACCTAACCTTTAATTGTAATTAATTTGCAATTAATTACATGCTAAAAGATAAATACTAAGAGAAGAGTAAATACTTTACAACTACTTTTACACAGTAACGAATTTCAATGTCCATTGGATCTATCCTATATCCACAGAATACAGGACAACCATGTAAAATCTCATCTTCAAATTTAGAACGTCAACACAAAACGATATGGTCTTATTATAATGAGTCGTTATGGGGAGAAATTTAAGCCAGCCACAGAAATTTGCATAAGTAACAAGGAATCAAAAGCTAATCACTTCTGAACAATGATTATGCTGAATTGAAATCATATACTTGTGGTTTACTATCAGTTTGCAGTAGCACCTAACTGGTACTTTTGAAAAAATACATTTTCAAACATGAAATTTGTTGTATTCAAGGTAAACATTAGAATGTATGAACATTTGTGATTGATTTTGGTGGTAGGGAACACCAACTTTGAATCCCAACTAAGTGAAATATTTTCTCCAAAATTCATTCTTCTTAGTCAACCTGTCTTACAAAAAGTTGTACTCTGTTATTGTTTCTATAATATTTTGAATTGTATCAATAAGTATTATGGACATTTTTTGTCTCATTATATAAGCAGCTATGTAATATCCTTCATTTGTTAACCCTCAAAGCCTAAAATATTTACTTGTATAGGACAAGTTTGCTAACTTCTCCTTTATATGAAGATATTTTTGTCTTTAATAGTTTTGTGTCTATACTTGTGAGCAGGATTAAGGTTTTGTTTCACAGTGACTTTAAAGGGAAATAATTTATGGAGCATCTTCGTTTCTACTGGATTTATTAATTGCATATTACTCATTATAATAAGACCATATTGTTTTGTGTTAATGTTCTAAATTTGAAGATGAGACTTTGCGTGGTTGTCCTGTATTCTGTGGATAGATCCACCGGACATTGAAATTTGTTACTGGGTAAAAGTAGTTGTATTGGTCCATTCTCATGCTGCTGTGAAGAAATAATGGAGACTAGGTAATTTATAAAGAAAGGAGGTTTAAGTGACTCATAGTTCTGCATGGTTGGGGAGGCCTCAGGAAACTTACAATTATGGCAGAAGGCACCTCTTCACAGGGCGCCAAGAGAGAGCATGAATGCCAACAGGGGAAATGCCGGATGCTTACAGAACCATCAGATTTCATGTGACTCACTCATTATCATGAGAACAGCATGGAGGAACCACTTCCATGATCCAGTCACCTCTACCTGCTCCTGCCCTTGACATGTGATTATTACAATTCAAGGTGAGATTTGGGTGGGGACACGGAGACAAACCATATCATTCTGCCCCTGGCCCTTCCCAAATCTCATGTCCTCAACATTAAAAAACATAATTATGCCTTTCCAGCAGTCCCCCAAAGTCTTAACTAATTCCAGCATTAACTCAAAAGTCCAAGTCCAAAGTCTCATCCGAGACAAGGCAAGTTCCTTCTACCTATGAGCCTATAAAATCAAAAGTATGTGGGTTACTTTCTACATATAATGGAAGTACAGGCACTGGGCAAATACACCTGTTCCCAATGGGAGAAATTGGCTAAAACAAAGGGGCTATACAACCCAAGTCTGAAGTCCGGTAGGGCAGTCATAAAGTCTTAAGTTTCCAAAATAATTTCCTTTGACTCGATGTCTGACATCCAGGTCACACTGATATAAGAGGTAGGTTTCCATGGCCTTGGGCAGCTCCACCCCTGTGGCTTTGCAGGGTACATCCCCACCTTCTGGCTGCTTTCACGGCTGGCCTTGAGTGCCTATGGCTTTTCCAGATGCATGGTGCAACCTGTCAGTGAATATACCATTCTGGGGTCTGGAAGATGTTGGCCTTCTTCTCACAGGACTTAGTGGGAGCTCCAACCACACATTTCCCTTCCCTACTTCCCCAGCAGAGGTTCTCCATGAGGATCCTGCCCCTGCAGCAGACTTTTGCCTGGACATCCAGGCATTTCCATGCATCCTCTGAAATATAGGTGGTGGTTCCCAAACCTCAATTCTCATCTTCTGTGCACCTGCAGGCCCAACACCATGTGGAGGCTGCCAAGGCTTTGGGCTTGGAACTTCTGAAGCCATAGCCTGAGCAGTACCTTGGCCCTTTTTAGCCATGGCTGGAGCGACTGGGTGCAGGACACCAAGTCCCAAGGCTGCATACAGCAGGGGGGCCCTGGACCCAGCCCAGGAAACCCATTTTTCTCTCCTAGGCCTCTGGGCTTGTGATGGAATGGGCTGCCAAACATCCCTGACATGTCCTAGAGGCATTTTCCCCATTGTCTTGGTGATGAGCTTTTGATTCTTTGTCACTTATGGAAATTCTGTGGCTGGCTTGAATTTCTTCCCAGAAAATGGATTTTTCTTTTCTATTTATTGTCAGGCTACACATTTTCCAAACCTTTGTGTGCTGCTTCCCTTTTAAATATAAATTCCAATTCTAAACTGTACCTCTGTGAATGCATAAAACAGTACTTTTAAGAGTACCCCCAAATCACCTCTTGAAGGCTTTGCTGCTTAGAAATTTCTTCTGCCAGATACCATAAATCATCTCTCTCAAGTTCAAAGTTCCACAGATCTCTAGAGCAGGGACAAAATGCTGCCAGTTTCTTTGCCAAAGCATAGCAAGGGTCATGTTTATTCAAGTTCCCAACAAGTTCCTCATCTTCATCTAAGACCACCTCAGCTTGTATTGTCCGTATCACTATTACCATTTTGGTCAAAGCCATTCAACAAGTCCCTAGAAAGTTCCAACTTTCCCACATTTTTCTATGTTCTTCTGAGCTCTCCAAACTGTTCCAACCTCTGCCTGTTACTCAGCTCCAAAGTCACTTACACATTTTCAGGTATCCTTCTAGCAGCACCCCACTCCTGGTACTAATCTGTATTAGTCCTTTCTCACACTGCTATAACGAAAAACCTGAGACTGTGTAATTTATAAAGAAAAGAGATTTAATTGAATCACAGTTCTGCATGGCTGGGGAGGCCTCAGGAAACTTACAATCATGGTGGAAGCACCTCTTCACAGGGCAACAGGAGAGAGAATGCATGCCAGCAGGGGGAATACCAGACACTTATAAAACCATCAGATCTTATGAGACTTACTCATTATCACAAGAACAGCATGGAGGAAACTGTCCCCATGATCCATTTACCACCACCTGTCCTGCCCTTGACACGTGGGAATTATTACAATTCAAGGTAAGATTTGGGTGGGGACACAGAGCCAAACCACATCAGTAGTGTACTATTTGCTGCAATGTGATTCTCAATTAATATAAGTCTGCCTTCAGGGAACCTATAAGGGGCAAATAACATGCAAAACACATAAAGAAACATTTATTTTCAAGAATGTGTTGCAGTCTACAGAAATGCCTAGAACTAGTTATGGTTAATTTCCAGGAAGAATTTTTGAGCCCCTGAAGAATAGATAAGAGATTGAGAGTCAGAGAGGAAAAGTCAGGCTCCCCAAACCAAAGTTTAATTCCCTGAGCAAGGCATAAAGAAGTATTTTGTTTTTCTCCTCTGTATGTATTCATTGGTTTACTGTTCCTGGAATTAAGAAGGTAATTTGGACTCCTTCTTGGGATACCATTCTCCTGTATCTCTGGACTTCCGATTCTTTTTCGTCTTGGGAGGAAAGTGTCTTTGCATAGAAGCCTTGGATGTTTCTAGGAGACCTTTGGAAAGCCTGGAAGAAAAGCCAGAATTACTGGACTGGAGCTTTGGTGGAAGCCAGATATTTAGAGGGTATTCTAACTAACATCTTACAGAAAGGAAAATAATGGTAGTTATTTGCATGGCCAGAGAGTTATAGAGAATGACAGGGTCTTAGAAGATTACAAGTTGGGGTTCATATAGTTTAATTTATAGGTGTTTGCTTAGATTTAAGTTTATGAGGCAATTACATGAGTATACATGGTATATGGACAACCATAGACTGTTCCTTTAAAATGTGTTAAGTATAACTTTTTTTCTTGGGCCAAGAAATTTTAGTGAGAACTAATTTTTATAGTTTCAACTGACTTCAGTGGAAAATGTAACATTCCTATATTTATGTGAGATATATATATATATATATATATATATATATGTATATATTTATTTATTTTTATGTTGGCAAGAATAAATTGAATAAAACAAAACAAGTTCATATATTATTGCAGTCTATGGTAATTATAAAGGAATAAGGAAAACTAGGGTCCAATTTTATGTACCTATAAGTAAATCAGTAGTTCAGAGCATGTAATGTCTCTTCCTATTATTTCCATGGGTGTTCTTTTATAATCTCCTTTATACTTCCAATTTGAAAATTTTGTTTAGTATTATAAGATGCATTCAGATAGCCTCAAAGAATGAAAGTTAACTCTCTTTTTTTTTGAGACGGAGTTTCACTCATGTTACCCAGGCTGGAGTGCAATGGCGAGATCTCGGCTCACCGCAACCTCTGCCTCCTGGGTTCAGGCAATTCTCCTGCCTCGGCCTCCTGAGTAGCTGGGATTACAGGCACGTGCCACCATGCCCAACTAATTTTTTGTAGTTTTAGTAGAGATGGGGTTTCACCGTGTTGACCAGGATGGTCTCGATCTCTTGACCTCGTGATCCACCCGCCTTGGCCTCCCAAAGTGCTGGGATTACAGGCTTGAGCCACCGCGCCTGGCGAAAGTTAACTCTTGACTTTCAAAGTAGTTCCATGCTGGGCATGCTGGCTCATGCCTGTAATCCCAGCACTTTGGGAGGCTGAGGTAGGTGGACTGCCCAAGGTCAGGAGTTCGAGACCAGGCTGGCCAACACGGTGAAACCCCTGTCTCTACTAAAAATACAAAAATTAGCTGGACATGATGGTACATCCCTGTAGTCCCAGCTACTCAAGAATCACTTGAACCTGGAAGGCAGAGGTTGCAGTGAGTCAGGGTCATGCCACTGCACCCCAGCCTGGGCAACAAAGTGAGACTGTCTCAAAAAAAAAGTAGTTTTAAACATTTTAAAGAATAATAAATGTTTTAAAGTCAGTGCTGAAAATTTTTAAAAGGTCATTATATTTTATGTTTAGGTCTCTGAAAGAAGATGAATTTGGCTGAGATTTGTGATAATGCAAAGAAAGGAAGAGAATATGCCCTTCTTGGAAATTACGACTCATCAATGGTGTATTACCAGGGGGTGATACAACAGATTCAGAGACATTGCCAGTCAATAAGAGATCCAGCTATCAAAGGCAAATGGCAACAGGTAAGATGATATTAAAGTATTAGATATGTTAGGAAAGTAGTACCCTATTATACTTGAGAGATTAGAGTTGGAAAATGAGTTTGAGATGGAAATATTTTCTATTTATCTGAATACTGAAATATATTTAAAATATATTTTTGAATAATTTTCTAGTATCTTACCTAATGTTTTGTTTTTGTGATCATATGTTCCATGAGGTATGGTTTGAAGATATTTAATTCTGATTGAATCTACTTTTACTTTTTTCTCTTTTTGTAATTAGTTACCTAATTGTGTGACTACAGACATTTGAAATAAAGTATTTCATTCATTCTTTTATTTTTTGGAGGCAGAGTCTTGCTCTGTTGCTCAGGTTGGAGTGCAGTGGCACCATCTCGGCTCACTGCAACTTCTGCCTCTTGGGTTCAAGTGATTCTCCTGCCTCAATCCCCTGAGTAGCTAGGATTACAGACATCTGCCACCACACCCCGCTAATTTTTTGTATTTTAGTAGAGATGGGGTTCCACCGTGTTGCCCAGGCTGGTCTCGAACTCCTGACCTTGTGATCTGCCCACCTCAGCCTCACAAAGTGCTAGGATTACATGCATGAGCCACCATGCCCAGCTATTCTTTCTTTTCTTTTCTTTTTTTTTTTTTTTTTTTAAGAGACAGGGTTTTGCTCTGTCACCCAGGCTAGAGTGCATTGGCGCCATTACAGTTCACTGTAGCCTCAAACTCCTGGGCTCAAGTGATCCTCCCACCACAGCTTCCTAAGTAGATAGGGCTACAGGTGCACACCACCTTGCCCAGCTAATTTTTAAGTTTTTTGTAAGGCCTTGCTCTTGCTGTGTTGCCCAGGGTGGTCGCAAACTCCTGGCCTCAAGTGGTCCACCTGCTTTGGCCTCTTAAAGCACTGGTATTACATGTGTGAGCCACTGTGCTGAACCTGAAATAAAGTATTCATCCTTGAGCTTTTCCCTTTTATTTTTACATGTTGTTTTGACCCATTTTACAAAACTCCTCTTCTGAAAGATTCCTTAAAAATGCAAATGAGTCAATAATCTAATAGAAAACATTACTGTATTTGCTGTCTTTTGACTATATAATTTGCTTATTTAATAAGAGTTTTAAAAAACTTGAATTTTAATTTCCCCACTTACTGTTCTTTAAATTTAATGTTTTAATTGATCAGTATGTTTAGCATAGTTCTTACTTTGCTGCCCCAGTTCCAAATTAATTGTAACTTTTAAAAAAGAATTTTTGCACATCATACTTATAAGCAACATATCTTCATTTAAGGAAATAAATCATCTGTCTATCTTCAGTGATGTTTAGTTAAACAAAATTGCCTTTTGTTTTTTATAAGGGCTTATTATTTAAGCTTGTATTTTTCACCTGTTATACTAAAATAACGTTAACAGCCTTTTTAGAAAACATTAAGTAAAAAATACAGAACATTTCAGGAGTGTGTGTGCATCCTGCACAGGGGACGTGCTGATCTCCTCTGTTATTCCAGTTTCAGTATATGTGCTGCCAATGCAAACACTCCCCACTTTTAAAATTAAAATCTTTTAAAAGTACAAAGTCAAGTGTTTCTTTGACGTTTCCATTTTATATACTAATGCCTTTCAAGTGTTTCATCTAATTTTTCCATTAGTCAGAAATTGATGTTTTCCTAAGTTTTGAGGGTAAATTTAGCTTATTTTCCTAATTAAATGTTACCAAATTATGTTCATTGAGAACTATATACTTACTCTAACTCAGGCTGAAAATTTTAGTTGTTTTCTTCTATGCTTCCCGTTAGCCACAGGCAGGGTGTTTCATTAATCTGTTATGGAAATATTTTTGATATGTTCCTAATTGTGTATGTTAAATAGTGACCATTTCTACTCAGATTTATTTCTACTATGCTTCTTTCCATTGGGTTCTGAAATTACATTTCTTTCAATATAGCATATCCCAGTAGAGTGTAATTGTATATATTAGCAATTGAATTTTACCTAGCTTTTTCTTTGGATCTGTAACTCTTTCATATGTTTCTTTTAATATATTATTCAATATAATGATAAGAGAAACTTTCTTACACTCTGCTTTACAGTAAAATGTGCTTTCTGGTTAAAAAAACAGAATTGTTAAAATGATTTTATAAATGTAATTTTCTTTTTTTGTTTTTGATATGGAGTCTTGCTCTGTTGCCCAAGCTGGAGTGCAGTAGTGTGATCATAGCTCACTATAGCTTCAAACTCCCAGGCTCAAGTGATTTTCCTGCCTCAGCCTCCTGAGTAGCTAGAACTACAGCCTCTTGCTGTTAATGCCTGGGCTAATATTTTTGTTTCCCCAGACTGGTCTTGAATGTAATTTTTAATATTTATCTGCTTGCTTTTGAAAATTAGTTTGGCCTCAAAGTTTGAAAACACAAGAATTTGCTCCTAATATGTGCTCAGTTAAGTTTTTTAAATACAGGAAAAATTTTGTCTTTGGTATAAAAATAAACTTTATTCAGAACTTGAAATAATTTAAATAAGGCCAAAATGATTCAGATTTCAGGTGAAGGAAAATTTAAATAAAAACTGGGGTGCGG